TAGGTTGGCTAGGCACTCCCTTGCACGTCCAACCGAGATACCCATTATCCGCTTGGTGCCGAGCTAATACTCCAGGCTAATTTATACACAATTTAAATCCTTATGGGTAAATATAGGTTTTTAGTGAACTCACCAGGTGCTGTGGCCGAGTTCCGAAGGGACTACCATATCCCGGATAATGTTCATCTCACATTAGCCAAACTAGATACCATACCCTGGGGAAACCCTGGCTTTGTTCCCTTTACACTTCTTTCCATTGTAGAAACCGGACTAAGATTCCCTGTATAGCCCCTCCTATGCGAGTTCCTCAGACAAACCAACGTTTGCCCTACCCAACTTTCCACAAATTCATACCGTATAATAAATGGCATCGCCGAGCTAAACCGCCGGGCTGGCCTTAACCTCGGTTTAGCCGAGCTTTTCCACCAATGCTCCATAGGATCAAATGAAGATGGCTGGGTTTACTATTTAAGAATAAGGCGCCGGCGTGAAAAGATAATAAAAAATACCTCGAATAAGGATGTCAATGACGATGAATTTTTCTAGGTTTCTGGGAATTTTGAAGACCATGAGGCCCAGATCCTAGGCGACCGAATAAACTGGGACAAAGGAGTCGCTGGTATAATTACCTCGGCTTTGTTTTATGCTTTCTTTTACCTTAGTTTTCTTACGCTGAACTGCACTGACTGTTGTCTTTTTTACTTCTTGCAGATTTAAACTTTCTCAAGTCCCAGTACAGCTACCCAACTTAAACACACTTCGCGCCGCGCTGCGATATCCCAATAGAAGTTGGGCCGAACTACTGGATTTTGAACCGACCTACCGATATAGCAGCCACAGGAAGACCAGAGTGACCGATTTCCTCATCGAACCTTCGCCAGAGCCAGATCCATCCTTACCTCAAATCAATCTCATGCCATTAACTGTCGAACAAGAAATGGCCAAGAAGAGAGTCGTAAGAGCACTCCTCACCAAGACGAACCAGCCCGACATACCACAAGCCGGTCAAACCCAAGAAATCGTGGTAGCCCTGCCATCCCATCAACCTGAATAATCTCAGACTCACAAGCACGCTCGGTCTTCCACTACAGAGCCATGCCTCGTTAATGAGGACACAACTGTGCTTCCCCCAACCGAAGTACCAAGCCCATAACCTGAGAGCTCAGACTGAGCTAACTCTTCTGACTGGGCACCGAGATTAACATATCAGAACCGAGCCATCAGACCAACAGATTCAGTGGTGGCAGATAAAGATCACATGCTGGCCTTCAACCTGGCTAAGAGTATATGTCTGCCCCCTGACATGGAGCATCACAAGCAGTTGACCGAGCTCAAGGCCATCCGGTCGGCAACAAAATCAATGATCCTAGTTAGTAGCTCTTCTTGTCTCTCTAATTTTTCCAACTTCCTGTTCGGTTTTGTCATTAGTTTCTTTGTATTCTTTTTCAGGCCATGCAAAAGAGTCCAATTGCGCACAAGCGTGTGTTGGAGCTTCGTAAAACCGCAAGGCAAGCCATGGCCGAAGTTAAAGCAAAAACCACCGAGCTAAAAGACTCCCAACAGAGGACAGCCAAGTTAGAGGCCGAGGTAGCTCGTCTGACCGGACTAGTTACCTCGGCTAATGCTGACAAACAAAAGGCACTGACCGTGATGAAGGATAAGTACCTTCGTGAGCTAGTCAAGCTCGAAGGAAAGAAAAATGCAGAGATTGTCGAGCTAACTAATACCACAAGCCGGTCAAACCCAAGAAATCGTGGTAGCCCTGCCATCCCATCAACCTGAATAATCTCAGACTCACAAGCACGCTCGGTCTTCCATTACAGAGCCATGCCTCGTTGATGAGGACGCAACTGTGCTTCCCCCAACCGAAGTACCAAGCCCACAACCTGAGAGCTCAGACTGAGCTAACTCTTCTGACTGGGCACCGAGATTAACATATCAGAACCGAGCCATTAGACCAACAGATTCAGTGGTGGCAGATAAAGATCATATGCTGGCCTTCAACCTGGCTAAGAGTGTGTGTCTGCCCCCTGATATGGATCACCATGCCCACCTTACCGAGCTAAAGGCTATCCGCTCGGCCACCAAATCAAGGGTGCTGGTGAGTACTCTTTCCTTTGTTTTCCTGTTTTGTGCAACTGTTAGCTCGGTTCTCACTTAGAATTGCTTACCTCATTTATGCAGGCCATGCAAAAGAACCAGATTGCTTATAAACATGTGCTAAAGCTACGCAAAACAACAAGGCAAGTTGTGGCAGAGGCTGACAAGAAGACGGCCAAGCTAAACGAGGCCAAACAAAAAATGGCCGAGCTACAATCTGAGGTCGCCTGCCTCACCGGTGTAGTGGACTCAGCCAAAGTGGAGAAACAAAAAGCTTTGACCGAGCTGAAGGACTACTACCTGCGTGAGCTTGCCACAATTGAGCAGAACAAGAACGCCGAAATAACTGAACTTGAGAAGAAGATTGGCGATGCGGAAGACCGTGGTTACAAAGAATGTGAAGCAACCTACATCCTGCAGTGCGAAGCTGCCAAGGATCTATTTTTCAAGTGCGGGTGGAAAGCGGCGGTGGAACAGCTCGGTCACAGTCCAGAGACCGAGGTTTTCCTGAACCCTTCATCGCACTTTATACCGAGCTGTATGGTGGAGTATGCAGCCGCCATTCAACAAAAATTCCTTGAATCTAAGGATGATGAAGAAGAGACCGTGCCTATCAATGCCCCGGTCATCAATGATCCAGCCATCCAGTCAGCGCGGGTTGAACCACCGGTGGAAGACCTGACAACCGAGCTACCAACTGAAATCGGGCTCCGAGTTGAACTGGATGCTGATCTTGACGACCTGTTTGTTTGACTTTGTATTTTCTTCTTTTTTACTTTTGGAAAGAAAACTGTAACCGGGCTGAAATCCCACCCTTTTGTAACTCTTGATTTGCACTTTCAATAAAATCTTCTCTTGTTCCAGCTATTATTCCGGTTAACTTCCATGTATGTACTTTACTCTGTAATCTGAATGCAGTATAACATTCTCTGGCCGAGATATTTTATCTCGGTCTTAACTTTGCAATCTAACTGGCCATACCTTCCAACCTGTTCAACCTAGATCCTTATCTCGGCTGAAGAATAATCAGTGTTGGTTTTTCCAGCCAACCTCTTCAGCCTAGATACTTATCTCGGTTGAAGAACAATAAGTGTTGGTTTTTCCAGCCAACCTCTTCAGCCTAGATCCTAACCTTAGTTGAAGAGAGCTCAAAGTTGGTTTTTCCTGCCAACTCTGAGTGAAGTGTTTAGTTATTCCTGCCAAACGTCCTGCAGCCTGGATCCTTATCCTGGGCTTAGGAGGGGTGTTGGTTTTTCCAGCAAACCTCTAAGTTGGTTATTCCTGCCAACCTAGAGTAAAGTGTTTGGTTATTCTGATCAAACGTCCTGCAACCTGGATCCTTATCCTGGGCTTAGGAGGGGTGTTAGTTTTTCCTGCCAACCTCTGAGTTGGTTATTCCTGCCAACCTAGAGTAAAGTGTTTGGTTATTCTGATCAAACGTCCTGCAACCTGGATCCTTATCCTGGGCTTAGGAGGGGTGTTGGTTATTCCAGTCAACTTCTTCAGCGCTGATCCTAATCTTAGCTGAAGAGAGTGCAAAGTTGGTTATTCCGGCCAACTATCACTACAAGAATTTACACTTTTGCCGACTAAAAATTTCGTTGGCAAAAGTCCATTTTTAGTCGGCAAAAGTTATCCGTGACTAATTTTTTTCGTCGCCACTTTGGTTGCCAATTGAGGGCTGCGAAAAGTAATTAGCGACTAAAAAATTTTTTAGTCCCGAAAAAGTCATATTTGCCGACTAAATTTTTAGTCGCTAAATATATAATTACTGCGACTAATCCATTTAGTAGCTAAAACACTTTAGTCGCGAAAAGTCATATTTTCCCGACCAAACATGTTAGTCGCCAATTTGCACATTCAATGACCAAATAATTTGGTCGGCAATTGTCGCCCATTTCCACGACCAACAAATTTGGTCACCAATTGTCACATTCCGCAACCAAAAAATATGGTCGGCAATACATTCCACGGCCAAAAATATTGGTCGGCAATATTCACTACAAGAAATTGCATTTTTGGCGACTAAAAATTTGGTCGGCAAAAGTCAATTTTTAGTCGACAAAAGCTATTCGTGACCAATTTTTTTGGTCGCCACCTTGGTCGCCAATTGAGGGTCGGCAAAAGTAATTAGCGACCAAAACTTTTGTTAGTCGGGAAAAAGTTAAATTTGCTGACTAAATTTTTGATCGCTAAATATATCATTACTGCGACTAATCCATTTAGTTGCTAAAACACTTTAGTCGCGAAAAGTGACATATTCCCAACCAAACATGTTAGTTGCCAATTGCCACATTCCACGACCAAAAAATTTTGTCGCCAATTATCACATTCCACGATCAAAAAGTTTGGTCGCCAATTGTCACATTCCACGACCAAAAGGTTTGGTCGCCAATTATCACATTCCACGACTAAAAAGTTTAGTCGCCAATTGTGACATTCTACGACCAAAAATTTTGGTCGCTAATTGTGACATTCTAGGACCAAAAAGTTTGGTCGCCAAAAGGAATGTTTGCGCCAACATGAAATAAAATAAACCTGTAATTCATAATAATCTATCCAATCTATTCAATACAATCTGTAATTTACAATAATCAATCAAACCAAAGTGACATATTCCCAACCAAACATGTTAGTCGCCAATTGCCACATTCCACGACCAAAAAATTTTGTCACCAATTATCACATTCCACGATCAAAAAGTTTGGTCGCCAATTGTCACATTTCACGACCAAAAGGTTTGGTCGCCAATTATCGCATTCCACGACTAAAAAGTTTAGTCGCCAATTGTGACATTCTACGACCAAAAATTTTGGTCGCTAATTGTGACATTCTAGGACCAAAAAGTTTGGTCGCCAAAAGGAATGTTTGCGCCAACATGAAATAAAATAAACCTGTAATTCATAATAATCTATCCAATCTATTCAATACAATCTGTAATTTACAATAATCAATCAAACCAACAATTCACCTGAATCATGAACATTCAACAAACTATATAAATCATCAAACTCTGAACCTGTTTAATTAAAGTCAACAACTATTATAAATTTTCATCCACAAGTAATTCCAGACTACATATTCGTTCAATTAAAAATCCGTTTGTAATCTATATAATCATCGAATTCACATCCACTTAGCATTAAAATTTAAAACATATTCCTTAAGTAAAGAGTAAAACTCCCTTCACAGAGCATCAATAGCTTTCATTGATTGAGCAAAAAGAAAATTCTTCCAACAGTATTCATATCCAGCTACGTCTCTTTCAGCTTCTTTCCAGGCCTCATAAGCCCGGACAAGAGCAAGGTTATCACTGTAATCACGTGAAAATTGTGTTTTTGCTGCTTCTGCTAGCTGCAAAGAGAAAGACACACAAATCAATTAGCGAAACAGATAAGATAAGATACTCAATTTTCTAGCAAAAGTTATCTATTAGTGAAACCACAACTAAAATACCCAGTTAACAACTATAGACATAAAATTATAGTAGCATAAAAAGTCAAGAAAAATCATGATGGATCCGAATATTAAAGTTATAATAGCATTGGGCTGCTAAGGGAGCAGGAAAGCGAAACAAAATTACACTGTGGCACACTGTCAATGAAGATTTTGAAGTAGAAAAACATGAATCATCCATTATAATTTTGTACTTGTTGGCATGAACACAATGAATAATGAGAATCCACCACTCCCTTTATTTTTACCTACATTATATACATATTAACTTGATGTGCTGAGTAGGGAAAAAAATTTGCAATGATGATATGACATGATTATAGATGCATGATATATTTCTTAGTAATTATTATATTAAGTATAATAACAAATCGAGCTACATGTAAATGTGACAGGTACACATTATATCAAAATAGAGCATAAGCCAGAGCTAGCCACTGTAACCCCAGCTGCAGCAAGACCAGGCCAAGTCAACACAGCAAGGCTGCAGTACCAGCCGCAGCCAGAGCAGCTAAAGTCAGAACAGATAGGGCTGTAGCTTCATTCATGCTCATGTGTTATAAAGAGAACTAGCATAACTGAATGCTAATCCAATCTAATCCAATCCATCTAAACAAACATGGCCTGAGAGCGTTACAAAATGAACAATTCGGACCATTAAAACAGAAGTTATGATAGCCCATGGACTCCTTAAGTTGTCTCAAGTTCAAAGTTGAACTGGATATATATATATATATATATACACACACACACACTAGATCACACAATTCCAAAAAAAAAACTATAAATAAAACCATTACTGAGGAGGAGCACCAATTCCACAACAAAAACCTGAGCATCTGGGGAATGAAATGTAGCAAAGCTAAAATAATACATATTGGACTGAAATATAATTGCAGAATTTTCTCCATCCAATGAAGAGTAAAGAAAAGAGTATAATTACCCAAAAAGGAATTGGGAAAATGATGTAATAACTAAACAATTTATGAGACACAGGTCATAAAAAATGTATGTACATAGTACTCAAGTATTGCAATCTCGGTCTTTTTTCTTTTTATATATATAGAAGGGGCTGGGGGATAGGAAAAAGAGTATTCCCACACCAATACCCTAATGTCAAGAAGTTCACAGTTCTATCATAATATGTTCTTATTCATAGCTAAAATAAGATTTGAAAATGCCTCCGGAGTGTCCAAAACTGATTACAACGGTCCACGATTGATGATATATGTCATGTTGAATAGAATAATAACAGTAATCACAATCTACTGACCGGGGTTCCCCAAAAGCCGCTCCACTGCAGCATGAGCATTCCCTGCAGTGGCTATCAGTGCCTGTATATTCTCTCGGGTATCAAAGAAGCCCATTTCTTGTAGCTGTGAGAGCTAAGTGGCATACAGTTCTCCCGGGGGCACTAAAAAAACAAGGCATAAATTGTGAGTAGATGACAAAGCATAAATCAGTAGGGCATAGGGGAAAAGGAAATAATAGTCACCATCTGATCTGACAGGAACGGCAGGGCTTCCAATCCCAAGACCCCCAAACATATTCATCAACATCTCCAATCCCATGTTGTCAAGTGTTCCTGCTATTGGGAGAAAAGTAGCACACCCACAGTGAGATAAAATAACATACAACAATTTTTAAAAAATGAAAGAATTTTTTTCATATAATGTCTTCTTCCTTCGGCTTGTTTATTTTATTTTATTTTCCTTTCCTTTTCTTTATCTGGGAAAGTAATTGTTATAGGTCAGGTTGTAACATCAAAAGATTACCACACCAACAGTCCTTAAGACTCTTTTGGAGTTCCCTATTGTAGAACTAACCATTGACAAGTTCCCTCTCATTGATTGCAACCAAGAATGTTAAAACTTGATATAGATGTGGCAAGACAGGGTGCTATCATAAATGATGACCTCCACTGTACAACATTTAAAATATACAACAAAACAATAGCATTAAGTCTATTGGAGGTATCACAAGTGAAGCCAAAGAGTAAATTCTTCCAGAGATAAGCACCTGTTCCCCCACCGGTTTGACCCGCTTCCCTGCAAGAGTGCAATTTCATTTAAGTAAACCAAGAAAAGAATGGGCATTAAAATCTAAACAACAAAATTCTATATAGGTATTGTGCAGGTTTATTAATTCATAAAAGACAATATTAAAATATCGGGCACTGGACAGTAACATGGCCGCATTGATTGTGCCAAAAAATATATACTGCTATATGAATAATGCATGTGTAATGGACAAGGAAATGTTTATAATAAGATTGTGAGGCTTGAAGTTAGATTATGTTACCAAACAAATTTAGGAGGAAAATTACTTACTGGGTTGATGGTTGCCGACCAAGCTGAGACAAAAGAGTTTGTTGTAAAGTCATGAGTTGCTGAAACAGGGGAAAACAGGTGTTAAGAAAGAGGGAATCAAGAAAGAAAGAAAGAAAGAAAGTGAAAACATTAAAATGAATATACAAACAAATGGTTCATGCATGCATGCAGTCATGAATATACATATGCACTTTTTGGGAGGGAAAAGAAAGGGGGACTGCAACCTTTTCATCAATGAAAGCTCCCTCTCTAGGGTTTCCTGGTACATTCATGCTCTGCTGGAAATTGCAACTTAACTTGTCTAATGCAGTTTAACTTGCATTGCACCATGAAATTCATGTTTAAATTTGTTTGATACAAACTTAATTTGCACCATGAAATTGCATGAATTAATTAACATTGTTCCAAATCTCAATTATGGATTTCATTATCAATACTAAACTCATGATAAAAACTTTCTGCCCGCAGCTTCCTATGGGTACCTAAAAGTTGATAATAGTATAAAATTTAATTAAAAAATTATATGGAGTCTTCTTTTTTTTTTTTAGAAAGTAAGATGATAATATTAAAAATATATGGTGTCTTGCATCAAAAGATTAAACTAAAAAAAATAAAAGCAGAAAGGTGAAAACTTACCTACAGGTTTTCTTTACACTTAAATGCTTTTCTTTTTTTTTTTTTTTGATCGGCAAAAAAAAGAACTTTATTGATGGAATAAAACAAGTACATAGTACAAAGCGAATTACATCAATAAAGAAAAAGGGAGGTGCAAAGGCATTACAATGGGCTAAATCATCCCAACAAGGTTGGCACCATCTAACTCATCCTATCATTTGCTAGCACCCCCAGAGTTGGTGAGAGACCAACGAGAAGCGACCAAGAGATCACTGCAAACAAACAAAGAGGACACTGCAAACATCCAAGACCAGCTTAACACCAAATCAGTTCAGCATCCACCATATCAGTTCAGCATTACACCACTTAGCCGAGCAGACACAAAGGTCATAACACAGTACATACCACCTCTCACTATTAGCAACACTATATAGAGAACTCCTTATTAAAAAATTATATGGAGTCTTCTTTTTTTTTTTTTAGAAAGTAAGATGATAATATTAAAAATATATGGTGTCTTGCATCAAAAGATTAAACTAAAAAAATAAAAGCAGAAAGGTGAAAACTTACCTACAGGTTTTCTTTACACTGAAATGCTTTTCTTACATCCAAAGTAGTCTAATGCAAAATGCAAAATTCATGCTCCCCATTTTTTAGGGGTTTTTAACTTGAAGTCTTATATATGGAGCTTGTAGATCATTTAATCCTATTTATATTCTTTTAATCTTAAAAGTTCGATACCTAACATGCTAACAAATGACTAAAACACCCACACATATATATGTACACGTTTCCCCTCCCTCTATACTTCAGTCAAATAAGTTGCCATAATTTAACCCATTCATGACCCACATACATGTTTCCCCTCCCTCTATACTTCAGTCAAATAAGTTTCCATAATCTATACCCATTCATGGCTGTCAGACTTTTGGTTTTGTGTTAAGAGATTTGTTTACACCTGACTTCAATGCATAGTGCACCATTTCACACTATTCAAGCAAAGGGATGGTTGTCCTAACATAAATTTGAATATCAACCGATCATCTAGCATTATATGACATAATGTAGTACCAAAACATGATAGCCAAGGTACTTACTCATTTGTATTATTAATCTATATGTAGATACATATTTACAATAGTGTGAATTATTACAAAAGTGAATATTCACATTTATAATGAATAAAATAATGTGAATTTTTTGAAAGAGTAAAGGTCGTAAATGTGTAAATGTGAAAATGCATACTATTTTACTCATTGTAAATGTGAATGTTCACACTTAAAACTGTGACGCAATAAGTGTGAAACTTCACATTTTCGATCCATACAAATCTCCACACAAAAACAGGAAATGTAACCATTTATCTACAAACCTCCACAAAAGACGAAAACTTCTATGGTATGCATACCATAAATGTAACTAGCTAATGCATATATACCATACATATCTCCACATACACACACACAAAACAAAAAAAGAAAGAAAGAAATATTTATGTCAACAATAAATCTAATGATATACTTACTATTTAGATCAAGTGTAAATATTATTAAAAGTACAAAATGGGACTTTTATCTCATAGCATTCTATATAAGTGGGACTGAATGGGTTAATTAAAAGCACATCTTGTCAGACACAGTTACATGGTTTGCAATTACCGGTGTTCTGTACAGAAATTTTTGTGTACATCTTGTTTTCATTATTGCTACTCTTACATGAAGTATTTTTTCTTCTTTATGACATAATACTTACATTATTCATTTTCATTTCTTTTCTTGGACAAAAAAAAAACCATGCATCCACACGGAGTGACTGCAATTTAAGTCAATGACGTTCAAAAAACAGGGAAAACCAAAACAAACATGGGGTGAACTTGAGACCGATAATAGATGTGTCACCAACTGATCTAGTGAAAACTATAACTACAAAAAGGAATGGAAAAATTGATTTTAAGTAGCTAACTGAAATACTTAGGACTTGGACAAAATTTGTAGAGGTAAACTAAAAACCTAACTGGTCCTTGACAAACAAACACCAATAAATAAATAAATAAATAAAAAGAATGAGAAACGAAACATTAACCACCACCGTTAAGCTTTTCTTGAAATATAATAAACAAATATATAAATCCTAAATGTGCGGGGAGCAAATATTCAGGCAAGCCTGCACTCCTTTCTTCCAAGCTCCTATCTGTCCGATTGACCTGCGAGCACAACGGCGGTGAACTACCCGGCGGTGTGTGGCCGGAAAACCCCTCTGACGATCAAGTTAGACACACACACACAGGGATAGAGAGAGAGAGAGAGAGAGGACTGAGTTGTGTTTAGTGTTTATCTCACCAAAATGTCATCTGTCTAGTATGGGGGGCGCAGACTCGCTTATATACCTTCTGCACCCCAAATCTACTCCCATTAGTCTCTCGACACATGGTGCTGCTATCCCATCTGTTAGCACAAATCTTGCTGAACATCACCTAACCCAACTACCAGCCCACTCTACTGGGAGCTCGGTAGCCGGATTGCAGCAGCTCGGCTGCCAACGGCCATGCTGCACTTCAAGCCCAAGTGTCCCAATAGCCAAGCTCATTGAGGACAGAGCTCGGCTACATCCCAGCATAGCCGAGCTCGGGACAGCTCATACTAGTTTGCCACCGGCCTTCCTGCCGAGCTAACTCATGAACTGTGGAACATCCACGCCTTGCCTGGCGCCGGTCATCTCACTTGACTGGCTTCTACACCATGAAGCCACGTAGCTCGGTCCGATCACGCCTGGCCTGGCGCCGGATATCTTGCTTGACCGGCTTCTATACCATGAAGCCAAATAGCTCGGTCCGACCACGCCTTGCCTGGCGCCGGACATCTCGCTTGACCGGCTTCTATACCATGAAGCCAAATAGCTCGGTCCGACCACGCCTTGCCTTAATCGAGCAAAACCTTTCAGGATAGGCCCGTTTCACCGCAGCCCAAACTTGTTCGGCCCAAATCTGCCCGGCCATTACCACAGCCCAAACTAGACCGTAAATCTCCCTCTCACTAAATAATTCTAATAAACTGCAAAACAAGATGTTAAAAGGCTAGTAAGCAACCAAACAAATTTTGTTGAGGAGGCACAAATTTTTTGAAGGTGAATGCATAACATGAGGTGTTTTACCCCTCATGAGGTGAGACATAAGCCTTAAGGTGTCGAGAAATAAGCATTTCGAATTTCGAATTTTTATATTTAGTAAATAAATTAAATATTTTAAAATAGTAAAAATTTAAATAAAAATTAATTTAAATGTGTAAATAATTTTCATCTCAAGGGGTTGAACATTTTACTATAGAGAATGAAGCTTGCCTTCATTGAAAGTAAAATTGACATTCTTAGTTTAGTGATAGAACTTCTCACTTGAGCATTAATCTTGTGTTTTTTCTTGATTCATCATTTACTTAATTTTTTCTATAGGATATAGTTGCAAAATATTTATTTTTTTTACTATTTTATGTTTGAACTATCTGTTATTAGACTAAGTTTAACAAGAGCCTAAGACAAGCTCTTCATATGTACTCCTCAAATGTGCAAAAGGCATACAAGGAGCATGCCTCAGACTGTGATGTGCAAGCTTTTAGGGAGATCAAAGCCTTGATGCGTTTTGCCTTAGCCTCTCCTTGAGGCAAGCCTCAGTAAAAGCCTTTTAAATGCAGACCTTCATTTCTTTCATTAAATCAATATTTATAACATGCATGTCAATGTAGATAAAAACACGTATGGAGAGCGTGTGAGAGAGGTAGATTTTTCAAGCAATGTACCTGCATTGTTTCAAGAGAAGTCAATTAACGAATGAATTCTGGGTTTTGCATCATCTCCCTAAGTTGGGAATTGGAACCCAGCATATTGCTCTGCTGGGAATTGAGACCAAGAATCTAACAATTGAAAAGCATTAGGGAATAAGAAACTTCACATTTAAATACCAAGCTCAACATGTTTGCTAGCAGATGAATAACACCAGCATGCAACCAAATATAAGTGATAAGTCTCCATGCTTCATGTCCATGTACTACCTTGTCCCACTCTAAAGGTCCCAATTTTTCCAATCTGCAAAAGTAAGGGTACATTGAAAATTAAGAATATCTACAAGTCTACAATTTTATTTATTTATGTATTCACGGTAAAAGAGAACAATAAATTTTGCTTAGTCTGGGGGAGAGCATAAGAGTGAACCCTTTGCATATACAAATCATTGAATTCCAGTATATCTATTACCACCTCTACACAAATGTAGTACAAGAATGAAAATATTTCTCAGTTTCTTCCTATTGAAGTCATGTTCTGTGATACATTTTCGACAGTGGCAGTTAAAACAATTAGATTTTATGATTACAGCTGACTCGGAAATTGAAATTAAGAAAGAGAAAATGAAAATATTGAGAAAAAAAATGTGATGAGAATATCATCACATCTACTAGTTTTGGCCAAGAAAATGCGTCATAAACTAACCTAATTGGATGATGACTCTAAAATATCTCATTTATCAATTTCTTTTTCAGAATAGTTGCAATTACTAAAACAGCCATAGTTGCTATCAAACTTCCGATTGGTGTTACATCTAACTTCATCCTAATGTTTTCATTTCTTATTTTATTTTTTCTTCTAACACTACTCATCCATCTCAATATTCTCATTTCAATTACACTCATTTTCAAAGCAGGTCTTATAGCAATCCTAAAAAAAAATTCCCTTCAACTTAATAGGAATTCTACAATTAAACAACACTCCTATTGCTCTCCTCCGTTTTTTTCATCCCGTTCTAATTCTATAAAGCAAGAATGTGAAGCATAGATCCAAAGAAACTAACCATATAATGACAAGAATAACAATATTAATCAAATCATAAATGTGCATACATTTAGTCTTATCAACTGAAAGCCTAATTTATTATGCATGCAAATCACATATTGAAACAAAGAAACTAACCATGGTTGCCTGGGGGAAAACACCTAGTGAATGATGACCAACATTATCATATAATGACAAGTACCATCTTTTCTTTGCACGCGGGGAGTAGTACTCTGCGACAAACTTCCTCCAGTAGGCAATAGTATGGGTCTGTTAAATTAAATAGTGCCATGACAAAGTTAGGCCAAAACATAGAGCTCAATCAAAATTATGTATCTAAATGAACAAAGATTGAGTATGTTTATAGCCAAACAAATAGGAAAATGTCTGAACAAATCCAAAGTGGAGAAAGAATAAACAAGCTAGATGTAGTCAACAAGTAATCAACTCACAGGGGGCCGTTGCCGCTGATGGTATAAATATTGCATTAGTCTACGAGGACATACACCATTATCATTGGGTCGCTTTATGGAAGACATAGGTTGCATACCCTGTTGTTGAAGTTGTTGTCTCAACTGCAGCTGCTGCTGCTGCTGTTGCTATTGTTGTAGTATGTGGGCTCGCTGCACTGGTGATATAGACTGCAGAAACTGTTGCTGCTGTTGTCGCATTCTCTGCTGCTGAATTAAAGCTTGTAACTGAGGATTGTGGGTTTGTAATTGCATGGATTCCTGTCGCTCCAGTAGTTGTTGCAGAACCTGCTGTTGCATAATGTCTTCCTGCTTGATATCCAATCGGGGTTTTTTCTGCAGCTGGGCTATATTATTGGGATCCTGTATGAAAGAGCCAGGGACATGTGGGCCAGGGGGAAGTGAAACTTGGCCCATTCTTGACGTGGGCAACGATGTAGCACTGGAAGCCCCTTGCTGCTGCTGACTTTGTGGCACCTGTTGGGAGCTTGGGTCTTGATTGGAGCTCGGGTCTTGATTGGAGCTCTGCTGCACTACAGAGGAGCCGTCCATAACTGAAGAGCCTGAAATGCTTATATAGGTGTGGAAGCATAAAAAATTAGATTCAATTAAATCATATCAGTTCTCAAGGTCTAAGCCTCATGATGCTAAATGGCACAACCAGTTTAGCCTTCGGCCTAGATTTCAATGTTTAGAAAATGGGGAAAAAATGACACAACCAGTTTGATATTTTTTTACTTTTAGTTGGTAGACGCTATTCATCTCCAATCAACACCATCTAAAAAACCACAAAGCAAGATAAATATCAATCCATTTTTAATCTATTACAGGCAACCAATGTGAAGCAAATTGGCATGGAACAACATTTTTCTAAGTTGAGCTTGTCTTTGACTTATTATAAAGTCTTGAAAGCCCAGACACTAGTTTGAACTCAACAATATAAAACACAATTTAAACCAGCTTTGTTACACAGTTTCAGAGCAAACCCAACTTCATACAAATACAAGGCAATTAAATCAAAATGTTTAATCTTAGATCATGTTTTTTATACCACATTTAAAATAAATACTTGGTGCTTTCAATTGTTTAGGAAATGAAGGTTTGAGAAGGGGTTTCAAGAATGGATTTCGCAGATATAGAGGTAAAAAGGGGAAGAGTGAAGGAAACCATTTGCCCATTACATGAATGGCGGTGGCTGGGTTGATTTAGAGGTAGGTTTGCATGAAGAAGGTATGCGGATGAAAGAAAAAAAAAACCCTAGAGGCCGAAATTAGGGGAACAAAGATAGAGATATAGAGATACATATATATATATAGAGAGAGAGAGAGGACATACCTTGGCTAGTGCCCCAATGATGGATCGTGACTACAAGATAAGATGATATAGGCTGTTGGTTTGCGATGGTCCTCATGTGCAACGGGCGTCGATGTCGATGGTGCTCCTGTACCAACGACAATGGAGACAAAAGCGAGAGAGAGAGAGAGAGAGAGAGAGAGAGAGAGAGAGAGAGAATCGGAGTTGGGCAGATGCGAGAGACAGAGACAGTCGCAGACTGAGAGAGTCACAAAGTGAGAGAGAGATGAACATGTTTTTAAGCCCTAAGTCACAGAGAACAATCTGATTGGTTTAAACAAAGAACATGCGGGGGAAATTATATGGTTTCCTCTAAAATTTCCACGTCTTTGGTGACAAAATTAATTTTTGGTCGGCAAATGTTATTATCTGTGACCAAAATATTAAAAAAATTACTTAAAATATTAAAAAAATTCATTCAAAACATTAAAATACGAAAAATTAAAAAGTAGAATTTTCTAAAATCTGGAAACAAACAAGCTGAATGTTATTTGTAACTAGTGTATCATGGACAATACAAAAAATATATAGATATAAGCCTTAAAATAAATTATATAATGATAAATTATTTTTTGATACAAAATTTGATTAAAAATTCAATATAATGATAACACCACTTCATCATTGATATGTGATATCACCCACTGATGGTAAATAATAGAGAGTGAATCTCACATGTTAAATGTAACTAACAATCCAATAAATTTCATACATTTATAGTGAGATTATTTATACTTGCATATCACTAATAATGGCATCGCCGTTACATTCAAAAATTTCATAGCTAATATGTTTTATTTATAGTAGTTTCTTCATTTTCAATCAAAATAACCATTATTGTTTTCATAATTTTTAAAATTTCATTGACATTTTACTCTAATAATATTTTTGTAATTTTTTATTTAAAATATTTTCTCTATGTTTGCAAAAAAAAAAAATTTCCAAAATCCAGGGAGGACACATGACCCTCCTGGTTCCATCCTCCCTCCGCCACTGGCTACTAGTATAAATTAAGTATAAGATGAAACTATTAGATAAAATTACTTTAGTCAAAGAGAAAACAAAAACAGAGAGAGTCACAGAGTAAGAGAGACAGATATTAGGGGAAGAGAGGCAGAGAGAGGGACAGAGAGAAGGCAAAATAGAGAGGACACACTGGGGTAATGCTCCAATAGTGGATCGACGGTGGTGCTCGATGGCAGTGATGCTCCTTACCCGACAGCGATGGAAACAAAGTGACAGAGATTCAATATCAGGAGGAGGGCAGTAATGGAATGAGAGAGACAGAGGCGTGAGAGAATCGGAAAAGGGCAGATGCAAGAGAGAGAGAGAGAGAGAGAGAGAGACGTTTAAGCCCTAACTCATTTTAGTTTGTTTGATAATCCCTCCAGAGTTCCTCACCAAATTAATTTTAAAATCCCTCCAAAATGATAATAAATAAAAAATAAAATTATAATAATAAATAATAATGATAATAATAATAAAATTAAACATCAACTCAAATTGGTAGAGTAGATGGGTGATGAGAGAGATGGGTGGTGAGAGAGAGATGAGTGAGAGACAGAGAGAGAGAGAGACATAGACAGAGTGATGAGCGAAAGAGAGACAGAGTGATGAGCGAAAAGTGCATTTTCTTGTAGTGAAGAGCTCGGTAAATAGAGAAGAGGGGAGGGAGAGAATGAGCAAGGTGAACACAATAGGGGAGAGAGACAGACAGACAGATAGACACATAGAGAGAAAGAGAGAGAGAAAAGTGACAGACAGACAGACATAGAGAGAGAAAGAGATAGAGAAAAGTGATGAGTGAGAGAGAGACGGAGAGAGAAAGAGATAGAGACAGAGACAAAGAGAAACAAGAGATGAGTGAGAGATAGACAAAGAGAGCGAAAAGATATGATCGAGAGAAAGACATAGAAAAAAAGAGAGATAGAGAGAGAAGAAAGATGAGCGGGAGAGACATAGAGAGAGATGAGTGAGAGAGATAGAGAAAGAAAAAAGATAAGAGAGAAGAGAGATGAGCGAGAGACAAAGAGAAAAAGAAACAGAGATAAAGACAGACAAACAGAGAAGAGTAATGAGTGAGAGAGAAAAAAAGAAGAGAGAAAGAAAGAGAGAGAGAGACAGACAAAGAGAGAAAGAGATAGAGAGTGAGAGACAGAAAAAGATACAGAGAAAAGAGAGATAGAGAGAGAAGAAAGATGAGCGGGAGAGACATAGAGAGAGATAGAGAGAAGAGAGATGGGTGAGAGAGATAGAGAAAGAAAAAAGATGAGAGAGAAGGGAGATAAGCGAGAGACAAAGAGAAAAATAAACAGAGACAAATACAGACAAACAGAGAAGAGTAATGAGTGAGAGAGAAAAAAAGAAGAGAGAAAGAAAGAGAGAGAGAGACAGACAAAGAGAGAAAGAGATAGAGAGTGAGAGACAGAAAAAGATACAGAGAAAGAGGAGAGATGAATGAAAGAGACAGAGAGAGATAGGGAGAAGAGAGATGAGTGAGAGAGACATAGAGAGAAGAAAGATGAACAAGAGAGACAGAGAGAGAGATAGAAAGAAGAAAGATGAGCGAGAGAGACATAGAGAGAAGAAAGATGAACAAGAGAGACAGAGAGAGAGATAGAGAGATAAGAGATGAGCGAGAGAGACAGAGAGAGAAGAGAGATGAGAGAAGAGAGATGAACAAGAGAGATAGAGAGAAGATAGATAAATGAAAGAGACAGGGAGAGAAAAGAGATGAGAGAAGAGATAGATGAGTGAGAGACACAGAGAGAGAGAGACAGATATACTGACAGACAGAGAGAGAATAGTGATGAGTAAGAGAGAGAACGAGAAGAGAGAGAGGAAGATGAAAAAAATGGTGAAGAGAGACAGACAAAGAGAGAGAGAGAGAAAAAAAAAGTGAAAAGAGATAAACGAGAGAGATACAGGGAGAGATGAGTGAGAGAGTGAGAGAGATAAAGAGAAGAGAGATGAGCGAGAGACACACAGAGAGAGAGACAGACAGACAGAGAAGAGTGATGAGTGAGAGAGAGAAAGAGAAAGAGAAGAGAGACAGAGACAAAAACAGAGACATAGAGAGAAAGAGAGAGACAGACTGACAGAGAAGAGTGATGAGTGAGAGAGAGAGAAAGAGAGAGACAGACAGACAGAGAAGAGTGATGAGTGAGAGAGAGAGAAAGAGAAGAGAGATAGAGATACAGACACAGAGAGAAAGAGAGAGACATACAGACAGAGAGAGAAAAAGTGATGAGTGAAAGTAAATTTTTATTTTTCTTTCAGCGACTAAATTATTTTAGTTGCCAAAACTATATATACAACGACCAAAATATTTTTTAGTCGCCAAAGATAAAAAACAAATTTTTATTTTTCATTCAGCGACTAAATTATTTTAGTTGCCAAACCTATCTATACCGCGACTAAAATATTTTTTAGTCGCTGAAATTAAATTTTTGCCGACCAAAATTTTGGTCGCCAAAGATAAAAAGTAAATTTTTATTTTTCATTCAGCGACTAAATTATTTTAGTTGCCAAAACTATATATACATCGACCAAAATATTTTTTAGTCGTTGAAATTAAATTTTTGCCGACCAAACTTTTGGTCGCCAAAGATAAAAAACAAATTTTTATTTTTCATTCAACAACTAAATTATTTTAGTTTCCAAAACTATCTATACCGCGACTAAAATATTTTTTAGTCGCTGAAATTAAATTTCTGTCAATCAAAATTTTGGTCGCCAAAGATAAAAAACAAATTTTTATTTTTCATTCAACAACTAAATTATTTTAGTTTCCAAAACTATCTATACCGCGACTAAAATATTTTCGACCAAACTGTTGGTCGCGAAAGATAAAAACTAAATTTTTCTTTTTCTTTCAGTGACTAAATTATTTTAGTTGCCAAAACTATATATACAGCAACCAAAATATTTTTTAATCGCTGAAATTAAATTTTTGCCTACCAAACTGTTGGTCGCAAAAGATAAAAATTAAATTTTTATTTTTTTTCAGCGACTAAATTATTTTAGTTGCCAAAACTATATATACAACGACCAAAATATTTTTTAGTCGCCAAAGATAAAAAACAAATTTTTATTTTTCATTCAGCGACTAAATTATTACCAAAATATTTTTTAATCGTTGAAATTAAATTTTTGCCGACCAAACTGTTGGTCGCGAAAGATAAAAGTTAAATTTTTATTTTTTTTCAGCAACTAAATTATTTTAGTTGCCAAAACTATATATACAGCGACCAAAATATTTTTTAGTCACTGAAATTAAATTTTTGCCGACCAAAATTTTGGTCGCCAAAGATAAAAAGTGATTTTTTATTTTTCTTTCAGTGACTAAATTATTTTAGTTGCCAAAACTATCTATACAGCGAACAAAATATTTTTGAGTCGCAAAAATTCAATTTTTGCCGACCAAAATTTTGGTCGCCAAAGATAAAAAGTAAACTTTTATTTTTCTTTCAGCGACTAAATTATTTTAGTAACCAAAACTATATATACAGCGACCAAAATATTTTTTAGTCGCTGAAATTAAATTTTTGCCGACCAAACTTTTGGTCGCGAAAGATAAAAACTAAATTTTTATTTTTCTTTCAGTGACTAAATTATTTTAGTTGCCAAAACTATATATACAGCGACGAAAATATTTTTTAGTCGCTGAAATTAAATTTTGCCGACCAAACTGTTGGTCGCAAAAGATAAAAATTAAATTTTTATTTTTTTTCAGCGACTAAATTATTTTAGTTGCCAAAACTATATATACAGCGACCAAAATATTTTTTAGTCGCTGAAATTAAATTTTTGCCAACCAAAATTTTGGTTGCCAAAGATAAAAAGTGATTTTTTATTTTTCTTTCAGCGACTAAATTATTTTAGTTGCCAAAACTATCTATACAGCGACCAAAATATTTTTGAGTCGCTAAAATTCAATTTTTGCCGACCAAACTTTTGGTTGCCAAAGATAAAAAGTAAATTTTTATTTTTCATTCAGCGACTAAATTATTTTAGTTGCCAAAAATATCTATACAACGACTAAAATATTTTTTAGTCGCTGAAATTAAATTTTTGCCGACCAAACTTTTGGTCGCGAAAGATAAAAACTAAATTTTTATTTTTCATTCAGCGACTAAATTATTTTAGTTGCCAAAACTATATATACAGCGACCAAAATATTTTTTAGTCGCTGAAATTAAATTTTTGCCGACCAAACTATTGGTCGCGAAAGATAAAAACTAAATTTTTA